AGCAGTGTACTTGGTCGATCTGCCTGTTCTGCTCCCCACTCTGTCTCTGTCTCTGGTGAAGCCTCTCGCCGCCCCTGAGCCTCTGGCCTGTACCCCAGCTCTGTATGCACAAATAAATAAATAAATCTTAACAACAACAAAAAAAAACATTTAAAAAAAAAAAAAAAAAACTCCAGGTTGTCTGGTGATAGTAGGATTGAGGGAGAAGTGAGAGCAATGACTCTTGGTCTCTCTGGGTCCTTGAATCATTGCTGCACTGGCTACTGCACCTTTTGGGAGGCAGTTGTCACCCACTAGTAAAGTAGTCATCCTCTCTGCCCCCCGCAATTGCCATGCGTCACCAGCCTGATAAAATGCCTGAGTTCTGTGGCCACTCAGAGCGTGTTGATATTACAGCTGTGGCCACTCAGAGCATGTTGATATTACAGCTGGCTGTTTGAAATCCTTGCCTCTTGACTTTGGAGATACCAGGCAACCCAATTGTCTTTGTCCCAGTTGAAGAAAAATTCCAAATAAGCCTCTACCACAAGCTGTCCAGGTTTGAACATGTCAAATCATTTTGTTGACGTACACTGAAGACAACTGTAAAGACTTCACAGCGACAGAGCAGCTTTTGTTTTTGTCAGAATTTACATTCTAGAAACTGAGCTTACCCGTGTCGTCTTTGGCAGCCCAGCCTAGACATTCCCGAGTCTGTGCTGAAATGACTGCGCTGTGTGTTCAAGGGAGGGGAAGGGGCCGGCTCTTCCTTTAGGCATATTTGGGTCCTAGTAAGGACACACGCTGTACATTCTGAAGCTTTGTTTGCATCTGGAAAAAATTAGCCACACTCAGATCTTTCCCACTGCAGGTCCCGTCAGGAAGCCCAAGTATGTGGAAAGCCCCAGAGTGCCTGGAGATGCAGTCATAATCCCGTTCAGAGAAGGGGCCAAGCCAACCGAGCCCAGTGAGAGTGGTAAGAATCTGTTTTCAATGCTTCCCTCCCTCCACCCCCCCCTAAAGATTTTACATAACGACACTCCATTTCTGGTGAAATTTGAGTGCCTCTGGTAGGAATGCTTTGCTAAACTGAACGTATTTGGGCAGTTTTTTTTTTCTCCCTTGGGCAGTAACAGATCTTTTTAGCTGATGTAAATTCTTGTTTTGTATACAGAGTATAGGAATAGTGGAGTGGGTACATATGCACTGTTTATGGGTTGAGTCTTACTTCCTCTCGATTTTGACCAACCAGTCATTGGGGTTATGAAAAACAAGCCAGTTGGCTACTTCGAAGACTTTCTGTTTTTAGCATTCCATCATTTTAGAATATTCACCAACAGCCTTGGAAATGCTAAAACTACAGCTGGACAAAGCTTGCAAAACTAACCTTCCTGAAAGTGTGGTAGCTTTGAAAGCTTTTTTCCTTTTTTGAACTTTAAAAGATTTTTAAAGTAGGGACCAAAAGACAAAACACCAAATTTGCGGAAGCCTTTCCATGAAGTTACTAGGTGTTTTGCTTCCCCCACCCCCATATACCTGGAAATAGGTGCAACCAACATTATGAACTTACAGTATTTTATAAATGCATCAGTAGTTCTTCGTTTTTTAAAAGACTCTTCAAGACTATACCTGTTTGTTCCCTTTTGAGGCATCCTAAATTCACTACTTTTTGTTCTGTGATTTGTGTCTTTTGAGCTTGTATCTTTTCTTACTGAAAAACACATGGTTAGGACGCTTAACCTTGTGGAAAGTCTGTTTAACCCTCAAAGTGGACACAAGTCTATGTAATTGTTCTGAAATAGCCTTGGGAAAACTTGCCTGTCTCTCCACGTTTGAATAGTGGCATCTTCCTCCACATTCTTGTAGGTAGTAGGTAGTAAGGGATCCAGCTCTTTATCCTTGCCACCATATGTGCGCTTTGAGTTATACTGATGGAGGGTGGAGGTCTGAGGTAAGGTGACATAGTGTAATAGAGTGGGGTGGTGGTAGTGAAGAGGAAATGACACTTGAGCTGAAGGGAGGGAATGACAGATGAACATCAGGAAGAAGAGCTTGGGATACAGGGAGACAGCAAGCTCAGGCATTTTAGGCAGGGAGGAGGTGCTGATGCCTGCATCTTGTGAATAATTCCACCCTTTCCTTCCTGTCCAGGCACTCAATTGTTTCATTTTAGGTAATAGGTTCATACTAGGAGTTTGCTGAGGAGGGACGGGGTCCTGGCTGTGTAATAGTAACGAGAGAAGAGTCCACAGTGGCGTCTGGTTAGGGCCCCCTTTGTTGTGAATTCATGTGACAGGTTCTCTTCGTGTCCAGCAGTTCTCTCATTTTGGATGTCAAAAGGGAAATAACCTGTTTGTCTGAACTGTGAATACCAATTATTGAATTTACCAAGTTGTCTGCCCATTTCAGAATAAGTCTGTCCTAATCCCCACTCCCAGTGCTTTTGAAGTCCTAGTGGGTTATACTCCTGGCATTTTGTCTGGCCTAGAGGTGATAATGAACCTCTTTCTCCCTGGCTGGGAGCATCTTTGAGGGCTTCTCTAGAGTTGAAGATTCCCTTGAGGTATGAGGGTGGGGGAGAAATTCAGGATTTTATTGTGCAAAGAAACAGTTATAAATAGCTCGCATTGTCAGCTTTACTCCCCTTGCCTAAATGCAGAATTGGCTGTCTTTCTTGGGCGGGCAGAGGGGGGGGTTGACTGCCAAGTGACCTACATTCAAGTATAGTGATTGATGTTGCTGGAGGATCCTGCAGTTTGCTCATGAACTCACTTCTCAGACAGGACATCTTCAATGTAGCATCATTCTCCAGTAAGGAGTGAAATTAAGACAATCACCAGAAGTTTCCATTTCATTTAGAATTAGGGATCATTTTTACTTCTGTTTACTTTTCCCAGATATCTGGGAAAGGGGTATAGTTCATGTTTGTGGGCATGCTGTCCATCATGTGTGGATAGCTGTGATTGTGGAAGTTCCAGCAGAATTATTGGTAGATGGGGAGGTAGTTTCCTAACAATATTAAGTGTGACAGTTAGCAAAGGATTGTATATTTTGTAATTTCCATGGGATTTTTAAATTTCAATGAGGTTAATTAAGTTTGCCATATTAATGTGTAAATCTTGTATCTAGATCATTGCACCTAAAGAGGAGGCTGGGGTGGACTAAGAGTAATTCAGCTTGATAGTAACCTGAGCATATAAGATGTGTGGTGGACAAACTAACTTCTGGGGTTTAATGCCAGCATTATCAGTGATTTTTTTTTTTAAAGATTTATGCATACAGAACTGGGGTACAGGCCAGAGGTGCAGGGGCAGTGAGAGGATTCACCAGAGACAGAGTGGGGAGCAGAACAGGCCAACTGATGAAGTACACTGCTGAAGGGAGCAGCAGACAGGTCAGGAGAGGTCTGCCACACCATGTGGATCACCTCCAGGGTATGGATCGGACTCGTGCTGAAGTGGCTTTAGCTTCTTAGTGCTGTGCTTTAACCTGCTGCACCACCAGGGAGGGCCCATCAGTGAATTTTACTTTAAAAGTCTGGCTTATGATTTCTGTATTTCCTTTGGGCATTTTGAAGTTTCTAAAATGCTTTTGTGGGTGCTGTCATAATCGCAGTTCAGTATTCACCAGACTAACAAATATTGAAAACAGCTTCTTGTGAATGCTTTTGAAATTTTACATAGACTTATAAAATATTGAGATATTCCTTAATGTTTGAAATACCCTTCTCAAATTAAACAGCCTTACTTTATGTCCTGTAGCGCCATAAAGTCTAGTTTTAACTCTGTTTGAAATTTTCATCAAAGTAAAACAAAACCAGTGACCTTTTTTTCATTTGCTCATTAATTTATAAGAAGTTTGCATAGTAACCATCTGGGAAGTGGGCTGTGATATGGGCAGATGAACATTTTTTATTGTAAGCAGGGACCTGTTTATCAAAGTTTACATTCACATAGAAAACATCTTCAAGGAAAGACATTCTACTTTATTCAGAATTTTAAAACATTTTTGAAAAATATTTTATACTCTGACAAAAAGATTACCTGATGAAGTCCTCAAAGGGAATGCGATCCCCAGCAAAATGCAATCCCCTTTTCCTTCCCATAAAATGGTCCTAATAAGCTGTTTTTTACATAGAATAAGTTTTCCACAAATAAGCCACTCATTGTTAACTCAACATAATGTTTAGGGGAAAAATATCATTCACAAAATAATACCTCTGCCTTAAGGGAAAAAAAGCCCCATAAATTAGAGACTATTATTAAATTGTAATAGGATTCACAGCTATGTTTCTTAGAATTAGGGGAAACCATAATCCATTTAGGTTTGCTTCAAGCTGTCATTAGCTACTTGAGCAAGCTTTGATGGGGAGGGGTGAGAAAGTTTTAGTTTTAATGAGTCATTCATTGCTCCTTGCAGATAAAACTCAAAATATGATGAAACTTATTTTTATGGCAGTTGAGTTGGCAAGTAAAACTAAAACATGAAATTGCAGAATGATTAAATACAAAGCTACCTTATTGGGATGAAGTCTTTTTAGATAAATGTTTAAGTATTAACGTCTTAGGTTTTTGATTATTACTTAAGACTCTGAAACAGTTGTAGAGAATGAAAAACATGTAGAAAAGAATGGTACTTGTTCACCATTTCATTTAAAACAGTACATAATTCCATTTCCCCTGGTGATATTCCCCTTTCTTTCCCAAAAGGTAACTCGGCTCCTGCCATTTTTTATCTACTTGGAATGGTGATGCACCATTTGATCAGTGACTGAACAAGGTCTTAGAGGAAAGGGGGCATATCTGCTTTGTGTGTAGAAGAGAGACTAGTGGCTGAATAGCTATTCATTGTACATTCCCCTGAATAAATATTACTTTCCTGTGTTGTGGGAAGCAAATGTTGGGTGCTGCTTAAGATGGTTTATCAAGTGTTCATCCATTCTTAATGGACCGTAGGGATTGGCTAGGGATTGAAGACCTGCATATAGAATAGCCCTAATATAAGGAAAGAAACACTGTTTGATAAATTGTTGCAATTGGGGTTTCTGAATCTGGAAAGATTTTAAATGGAGTGCTGCCTTAAGATTCCCCTAGCCATAATGTGTAAGATGAAGTAAAACAAGAGAGAAACTAAAATGGACACTTAAAGTGAGGCTAACGAATGGTCAGAAAACGATTTTTCTAGGTAGCTGAGAGCTAGATCTCAAATTAGAACTGGATCAGGAAAGAAAGTGGATGAGAAAATTCTGGAAGTTAAAAGGACCAGAGAGCCTTAAGAGAAAAAGATGGTGTGACCTCAGGCTTTGAGACCGCGTTAAGAAGAGGCTGAAGGAGAGGGCACTGTTTTTGGCTTGAGTTCATTTTGAAGTGTTGGTGGAATGTCTAAGCAAAAGTGTCCATTGAGAAGTTGGAAAATCAAGCTGGTGTTCCAGAAAGTGCTCAGAATTTAGCCCTTGCAGCCCTTTGTTTAGTGGGAAGATAGTGATGTTGGTTGTGCTCCACCAAGGTAAAGGTTGATGACAAAAGAGAAATGAGGAAAATTTGTGGGCATTTTATCCATGGATAAGGAGGAAGAAGCATCAGCAAATGGGGAGGAGAAGGACCCACAGGAGCACATGTGGTTTCTTGGAAACCATGGGTTTTCCATCTGATGACAGTTTGCAAGGTCAAAAATGTAGAAGCAAGTCAAGAGATTATCTGTTAAAAAAAAAAAAAAAGACTGTTTCACATGGTTTTTTGAGGAGTATTGTGAATGTAAATGAGTTTGAGTTGTAGCAGGTGATGGTGATAAGTTAATGGAATTGGTGAGGGTAGATGGCTTTTTTACCCCAAGGAGTTGAGCAAATGAGGGGAGGATAAAGAGATAAATTACTGGGCAGGAGAGTCTTTTTTTTCTCCACGTTTTTAAAAAAAGATTTTACTTCTTTATGCATGCAGAACTGGGGTACAGGCCAAAGGTGCAGGGGCGGTGAGAGGG